TAGGAACCAAGACACCACTCTTCTATCCATCTCCGGGCGGTCCACCCACATGCAGGTATGCTGATCTGGTGAGAAAGAAGCTATATCAACCATGGCACTGACGTTGGCTTCTGACGTTGGCTTCTGACGTTGGCTTTTGACGCACACTGTTGCAAAATGTAGCAATGTAGTTTACTGTTGTTATATTAAGACTGTTACCCATACTATACCATGATTCAAGACAAAATTTCATTTATTTGTAATTAGAAACATTTCACAATATAAAATTACACATTGTTTTTGTGATTAATCACTATGCTTTAATTACGTTTGATTTGTAACAATGAAAATACACCCTGCGTATCAGATATTTACATTACGATTCCTAACAGTAGCAAAATTACAGTTATGGAGTAGCAACGGAAAAAAATTTCTGGTTTGGGGTCACCACAACTTGAGGAACTGTATTTAAGGGTCTCAGCAGAAGGTTGAGAATCACTGTTCAGAATCTTCTGCAATTGTGAAGTGACCGCATGGGGAAGAACGAGATGTACCCGGTAGCCCCAGGCATAATCTCCCTAGGCTTGATGGGGACCCCCAAGCCTCGCCCAACCCCAGAAAGTGGCCAAAACACCCCCTGCTCTATCCAGACGCTAGGACCCCAAGGTGCAATGGACCACTTCTTCCCATGGGTTTGTAACACCCACCAAATGACTGAGTGGGACTGTACCAATACGGGGTTTGTGGCTCGCCAATAGGATTGAGTAGCTTGCTAATAAGACAAATGAGATTCGTGGGATCCTGGGAATGGGATTAGGCCTGCTTTTGCCATCCCAAACCCAACATCCAAACTCGCTGCCATCCAGTCGATTCCGACGCACAATGACCTTATAGGGCAGCTTGGAACTGCCCTTGTGGGTTTCTAAGAGTGCAACTCTTACGAAAGCCTCATCTTTCTCCCTGAGAGCCGGTTGGTAGTTTTGAACTGTTGATCTTGCAGTCAGCAGCCCAAAGCATAACCCACTCTGCCACCAGTGTTCTTTGCCATTCCAGAAGTGAGAAGGGGGACCTTGGCCCCACCAAGAAAAACAGGTGAGGGCAGAAGTCATCCTTTGAACCCAGGGCCCCCATGCTGAGAACCTCCTAGACCCAGGAGAGAGGATGGTGAGAAACACCAGCAAAACCAGGAGACTGGTCAGCGATAGTGCACTGGCCTTCCTGGCCCACTGAGCAAGGTAGGTACCATGGAGGTAAAGCCACAGATGGAGAAAGCTGAGCCCTCGGAATTGAGGCTCCCTGGCAGAGTGGGGTGTCCCAGACACTTACTGACATATGATTGAAGAACTTGCCAGAGCAAGGCAGAGGCTGACCCAGTACAGTGTCAAGGGACCCAGGGCCAGAAAAGGGGTCGCCTGCAGCACAGCTGGGCAGCTGTCCTGAGTCATTTCTGCTGCAGAGCGATAACTTGTTCCTCTCCCAGTAAACCTTTGGCAGTCCTCTCTCTGAGTTCTGTGTGGCCAGTGCACCCAGTCATCACACTCAACGGAGAAGGAGAAAGTGCCAGGGGAGGGTCCGCTGGTCTCAGAACAAGGGTGGGCAGGTGGAGGTTATATGCTCCTAACAGTCCATCTGGAGCGGCTGAGGCTGAAGACTGTCCTCCCCCTTGAGAAGTTGGACGAGGAGGTCAGACACCCCCATGCCGCCATGTTTACAGGCATTCTTGGCCAGCTTCCATGTCAGCACAGCCTCCCCCACCCCCAGCCCCCACCATCTCCACAACTCCAGCCTCCCACTCCCAGCAGGGGCCTGTCGTGGGAAGCAGAGTGGGAGGCCCTTGGGACACTTCTCAGTCCTCCGAGGTCCCAGCCACCTCCAGTCCGGCAATGCGTCCCTGCTCAGCTCTGCCAAGCTCCAGTCGGCAGAGGTGGGAGGAGGTTGGGAAAGAAGAAGAAATGCTTCCAGCAATGCAGTGTAGACGCCCGTGGGAAGGCCCCGTTCTCTGTGGGAGGCCCCATTTGTCCAGAAGGGGGCCACTCAGGGACGCCACACCCTAAGAGGGCTTCCCCCAGCACTCCTATCTGCTCCCAGTTCAGGAAGAGCAGGCTGGAGCCAGCGACTGACACACCCACTTTGCTGGCTGCTGTGGGCGTGCAAAAGGCAGGGTGAGATTTCATGGAATTCTTCCGGAACAAGGAGTTTCAGTAAGTACACAGAGGCACTCATTTGCTGATTTCTTAGGTTTTATTGGGCCCTCACTGCGGAGAACCCCAGCCTGGGCAGCATGTGAGAGGGCAGGGCTCAGGGAGACAGACAGACTGGGGATGTCACATCTGCCAAGGCGGATGTCCTAGCTGTGGAGGAGGGCTGAGCAGGCAGCAGCAGGCAGGGGGTGCAGAGGTGGGCAGCACAAGGTGGAGAGGGCTGAAAGGGGGATGCTAGGGG